ACCCAGAAGAGATCTGTGCTCACGGACCTACAGCCAGTGCCACACCGCGTTAAGGAAACTGCATGCGTGCACAAGCAGACGCACACTGGTAGGATACAGCTGATAGACACCTGGGGGCCAGCTAAGCCTGCCAACACTCGGGAGCTCCGCTGATTCCTAAAGACATGACAGGGGTGATGTGACTCATGTCAAGATCACACACCCTCACAACACAGGAGCATAGGAGCACTGTGCACACCCAGGAGGAGCACGTGCACAGGTCATCTGCTATACAGTTTTGATACAGGGTACAAGCAGTGCTAAAGCTTGGGCACCTCTCTGACCCAGCACACAACAGTGCATGAACTCTCAGGTCCTCTGTGATTTTATTTTCTTTTGTGGGAGGGCAGTGTTGGGGGACAAAGCACCCTACCAGGACCAAGCACTCTACCTCTGAGCTGTACCAACCACTGTATGCCTACCCTGTGTTTTCAAGCAGAGGAGACAGAGCAACAGAGGTATAGATACTTCAGCTCAGCTTCAGCCCAGGAGCCTGAGTCGTGGCCTGCCCCGCCCCCTGCACCACAGGCAGAGCCAGCATCTGATTCCCCTGCTTCTCACTATCAGCTCTCTCCACTTCTTTGCAAGCCTGGGGCTTTCTCCCTTTAACCCAAAGACAATAGGAAAAAAACTTTTTCATTTATTCTACCAACTTGTTAATGATTTTCAAGGCTTCAGTGACTCAGGGCAGCCCAGTGAGCAGTGATGGACTTGGAAACTTGGGACGCGCCGCAGGACTCCAGCATGTTCCCGGTGAAGCCCTTTCTAAGTTAACAGCTCTGCTTAAGGGGCTAGAGCTCACTGGGCAAGAGGTCACTCAGGCAACAGCCACTGTTTGCTTAAGACCCCAAGCCAGGACTTCGAACTCCCCACCCCACCCTGGCCCTTCCCCCTGCAAATCCTATTGTTCCCCACTCAACAGCCTCTGACTCCTTATTAAAGACGCACCCTGGTAAACAGGGGTAAGATTTATCCTGACCTTGGAATCCAGGGCTGGCCCATTGGCCTAACCGCAAAGAACTCAGCCTCCGCCTCCAGCTCAAGGTGGTGGCCTAAGTCATGAGTCGAGCAGGCTCTATGTTTCTTTCTTTGGGGTTCACTTTTAAAAGCTGCTGCCTCCAAAAAACCAAGGCTAGAACACATGGTAGGGCCCTACCAGGAGCTTCCTTGCCCACCAGGCCCAGGCCCCTGAACTCAGAACTCTCAGGAAAGACACTGGACAAGAGTGCTAAGTGCTACGGTTCTGCTGTACTTTAATAAATGAAAAAGAAAACTTACAGCGTTAGCTCACCCAACAGACATGGAAGAGAAGGCAGCTGAATTAACAGGCAGCTGAGACATTTTGGTCCTAAATTGCTATTTATACTCTTCTGGTATTTTTCTTCTTTTGCAAGGTACAAGATTTAACTATAACCACAGGAAGGCAAGGAAAGCTTGGGGCCACAGAAGAAAGTGATTGACGATGTAGACTGTGCCTAAGGAGAGTCACAGTTAGAGAAAACATTCTCTCAGGCTTTCACAGAGAGCAAATTGGTCAAGCAATGGCCGTGACTCATCTACATGGCTGACCCTGACTGAGGATCTACAAACTGTGGTACAGGTTGATTGGCCTTGGCAGATACAAAAGTTACATTTCTTGTTATATAGGTCTTGTTTTATCTTGGTCTTATCCATCCAGCAGAAAAGTATAAGAACAAAATATAAGGGGCCAGGAAGATGGCTCAGTAGAACAAGTGCTTCCCTAGCAAGCACAAGGGCCTGAGTTCAACACCCAGTTCCACAAAAAAACCAAACAAACAAAAAATAAACAAGGTATAAATAGTAAAGCCATATTAACATGCTAAGCTATAAAAAGTCAGCAACTTCTGACATTGCCAGTCCTGTGGATAACCCACTACTATTATGGACTACTGGACTATATTGGATTATTTTGCTGAATTCACACACCTACAATATTTAAATGGCAACGGAATACCCATCTCTAATAAAACTAAACAAAAAAAGGGGCATATAAATGAAGGACCATTTTGTATCTGTATATACAAAATAGGCTAGACATATAGTTACTTTCTCTTAATTTAATGAGAAGATTTATACTAATAGTGTTTAGACAGGATATCATATCTGCATCTTGTACTATGAATAACTACTAAGACAACAATATGCAATGTACTAATTACTGAAACTGTCCTACTAATTGGTTTTGAAATTGTCTCATTGCCATTTGTTTCTCAATAAAATTACTAAAAATAAATAAATAAAAAGGAAGGCAAGGAAAGCTAACACCAGCACACATGGCAGAGAACGAAAGACTACAAACAGCAATCTTCTGGTAACAGACTTTTATTAGACCTTTTGGAATTATGCAGTAAAAATACCAAGGTCTCACATTTATTTGAATTAAAATGCTGTAGCCCGGGTGTGGCATCCCTCAGGTACGGTGGTTACAGAGACCCTGAAGGGCTGAGGCTCACACCACCTGGTCGTGGTTCTTCCACGAAGAAGAAGTGTGGCCGTGAGTGAATTATTTCAGCTCTGCGTGACTCGGTGGAAGGAAATGCGTAGTCTTGACCTTTCCCCAGGACTAGCAGGGGGGCAGGAACAGAGTGACGTAGACCCAGTGATGTTGAGACAGGTAGAGAGAGAGCACAAAAGATGAAAGCAAAGCAGTTGTAAAAATAGTGGAGCCAAACACAGACTGAGAGGGAGAGAGGTGAGCTTCCCCACTGCCCGCTGCAGCGTCACGCCCCACAGAGAAACACCTGGTGAGGAGCACAGCCTTAGCAAGTGCGCCAAGACAACTCCACGGAGAAGTACTTGTCTTTCCAAGAACTAGTCCAAGTGGACATCCAACACTAAACAGCGAAGCGGGACTCCTTCCTACTCCACAACATATACAAAACTTTACTCAGAATAACCAAAGACCACTGTGAGAATTAAACCTACAAAAATTTGTAAGAGAAAACCTAGGCATTAATCTTCCTGACCTTGGATAAGGCAGTGGTTTCTTAGATATGGCACCCAGAACACAAGCAATAACAGCAAAAATCGGGAGCTTGGACATCATCCAAATTAAAATCTTTTGTGTTTCATAGGACACTATTAAGAAAGTGAGGTTGATACACAGCATGGAGAAAAATTTTACAAAGCATTATGCAATAAAGGTCCTGAAGCTCACGTACACCAACAACTCATACAACTCAGGAAGAGAAAGACTGATTTTAAAATGGGCAGCAGACCCAGACAGACGTTTTCGCAAGGAAAGGCACACAAATGTCAGTAACCACACGAAAATCCACCAGGGAAATGCAGATTCACGTAGTGAGACGCCACCTCACACTTGCCAGGACTTTATGACAAAGAAGACAGACAACAGCAAGTGTCGGGGAGGGTGCAGACTGCAGGCGGGAAGGCGCCGTGCTTCAGCTACTGCGGAAAACATCCCAGCGGTTGTTTGAAAAGTTAAGCATGGCGTCACTGTTATGAACAGGTAACTCCTCTCCTGCTATATTCCCAGAAGAAATGAAAATAGGTGTCCACACAAAAACTTGTACAGAGATGTTCATAGCAGCATTACTCACAATTGCCAAAAAGTAGAAATATCCAAAATGTCCATCAACTGATGTGGTACATCCAGACTCTGAACTATTACTTGGTGACACACAGAAATGAAGCACTGGTACATGTTCAATGCGGCTGATCCCTGAAAATACACTAACTGTAAGAAGCTTTCAGAGAGAACACACTGTGTGGTCTACATACACGGAATGGCCAGAACAGAGAAATCTCCATAAAAAGTAGACATGTGGTTTCTTAGCTCTGAGGAAGCTGGAGGAAGTGATAGCCAAGGGACACAGGGGGCCAGGAGAGTATTCTAAAATTGATGCACTTCCTTGAATATACCCCAAACAACACAACTGTACACACTAAGTAGGGAAACTGTACTGTATGTGAATTATATGTCAATAAGGCTGTTAACCCAACCCAACCCCTCTCTCTCCTAAAAGAAGAGTCAGGATGTGTCTTCACTCTGCAGGAGTACCATGGCTCTCGACCCAACATAATTCCTAATGGATCCCCTTTACTCTCTGAAGGATCCTGGGATGTGACGTTATACAGGTGGCTTTGCCCCTCTGGACCCCAGTTTCCCCATATGTACAACAAGATGTACCATGTTCTGAGCCTAGCACCATGCTGCCGTCCACAAAAGCTTCACTTGAGAAGCTGTAGAAGCATACTCGGTGGCCACAGGGTTCACCAGCGTTTGCGAGATGAGCCCAAATGAGCAAAGAGCTGAAGCCCCGGGCTCAGACTGACCACTGGACCTCAAGTCCCAGAGGAAAGACAAAAACTAATTCATGAGTCTGTCACAGTTACTGATAGTCATGTTTCCCCACAGCTAAGAAAGGTGACGCAATCTTTCCAGTGAAAAGCCCCCTAAACATATCCCCTACAAATGAAAAGAATGCTAAACACCTAAGAACCTCCCCTCAACAGATAATCCAGTGTCCTCAGCAAGTGTGATTATCCAGTGGCCAGCCACAGCTTCTTTAAGTGGGATCTTGTAAGTCCACCCTTAAGGGTCTGATACTATGACAGTCAAGGCCATCTGATGATACAGTGGGATGCTTATTTCCTAGTCCTCCTTACCCCTGGCTGCTGAAGAGATAAAATTATAGCCGAGTAGATCAAGAGGAATCACCTGTTTCTCATGCCTTCTCTACTCATAAAAATGCACAAAGAAAGTCTTTCTAATCCACCCACCTTCCAACTCCCAGATAACTTCAGGATTAGCATCCGTGAGACAGGGATCGTGCCAATGCACATACACACAAGTACATCTCTGGGGTTTGCAGCAATAGATTCTTAGAAACATGGCGAACTAAGAGAAACTTCCTTTTTGTTCATTGAAAAGAAAGTTTTGTGCTATTATCTGTTCGTTTCTTCTTTGCAAGAGAGCCTTTTTTATCAGTATCTCTTCTGAGTAACTATTTTGCAAATACAGTGTATTAAATAGTGTTATTTTCTTTAAAAAATATGGTGAAGGTAACAGAAGAAGGTACAGGACGGCATCACTCCCACCAATTCATCTAAGAACGGGACAAAGGTGCTCACCAGGGTCACTGAGATAGAAATACAGAGACAGGAGAACAGGAGAAACGACCCCGATGAGCCAGCAGCACTAGGCTTGGAGCCAGCTACGCAGGGACGAGATGGCGCAAGGGGGGCAAAGCTTTCTCTGGAGGCAGGAGAGTGACCAGCAGGGACAACACACGTGGTACCAAGATTCCCAGTGAACCTCTACCTAGGGGCATGGAGCTTGGAGAGCCACCCGGTCTCTGCATGCCAGACTTTGAGTCCACAGGTTTCTGCTGGTTGGTGTCTGTAGCCGTCATGGAGTGGGCAGGGTCCCTCCTGGCTTCAGCTTGCCGGGTGAGACCGCAGCTGGCAGTGGTGCAATTTCCACATCCAAGGGCTTCCTGGGGCCGGGAGGCAGGGCGCTCCTGCCGCTGCTCAGAGTCCGCACTTCAGGACGATGTGGTAGCCATCGTTGCTCTCAGCTGCAACAGAGAAACAGGAGCATTTCACAGGACTAGAGGCACAGCGCTGTGGGCTTTGCAAGTCCCAAAAGGCGTGGGTCAGGACAGCAGCACAGGTGCCAAGATAAGGCGACAGAGGAGGAAAGGCTTGAGCAGCCACCTTAGCAGCTGCCTTGCCAAGTTCATTTCTGTGCACCTTGCCACCACAGCCAAGGGGAACAGCAACTGTGTCCAAGGAAACTTCGGACAGACTCGGGTTCTCGGGCCCATAAAGGCATTCATTTCCTGGGCTATAGCTTAGATACGGATTGTGGGATTCTGGCTCCTCTCCTCCTCTCCCTCTCAGTTTCCCCAGTGGTAGGAGATGAGCAGCTTACCCCTTCAGTTGCTCCCACCACTACATGCTGTCTTGTAACAGGCCCAAAAGAAATAGCGGCCACTGATCCTGGACTAGAACCTCCACAATTGTGAACCAAACTAAACCTTCCCTCTTTTTAAGTTTATTGTCTCAAGTATTTTGTTATAGTCATGGAAAGCTAACCAATACAGACTAGACTCACAAAATAAGGAGTGAAATGGCCTCATCACAGTTGAAGGTCCACAGACCAGTCACAGGGCTTCTCTGCCAACACTGTCCATCTGATTACTATACCAGTTCCAAGAAAAGAAGACACTAGGTCATTCTTCGCCTTTTATGAATAGACATATGGTCCTGCCACACAGCTCTCTCACTGCAGGGAGTGGGTGTACTGATGTTCTCTCAGGGCATCTAGCTCAGGTAGATCCTTGTGCTCCCCCTGAAGTCCCAATGCATTCTTCTGGCCACTGTATTCCATGCTTGGGCTTCCTAGTATTGGAAATCCTCTAGGAAAATGCAAACAGATCTTGTTCTACTCAGCCCTGAGCCCATGGAAAACAAAGTGCCTGGCTCAAGATCTCCCCTTCAGAAGTGACTCTGAGGCCGGTCTTCTAGCTCTACCTTCCAGGAAGCCTGCACTTTCAAGCTGAGCCCCTTCTGGAGGGGCCCACGCAGGCTGCTCTGCGCTCACGCCGCAGCCCTACAGGGTGCGCATCACATGCTCCTATTAGACAAAGAGGGGTTGGAGGGCTTTACCTTTTAGTGTGCTGAGAATGAAACAAGATTCATCTTGGAAATTCTGCACCATCTGAAAAGTAAAAGAAAAAACATATTGCCTCTGTAAAGAGTTTAATCATATAAAAAGGCTCTTGGTGACCCAAAGACACGCACAGCTTCAGAAATGACCACTGCAGAACTCAGGCACACGAGGACACAGCCACCGCCAAGAAATGGGAGGTACAGAATTGATGTGTTCCCCCACTGGAATTTAGTGACAAATCTGCTTGAGACATGGGGTCAAGATGCTCCTGTTAACTGTGTATTATGGTGTGCATCTATAATCCCAGGAGGATGAGCCAGGGATATCATCGTGATTTTGAGGCTGGCCTGGACTATACAGTGAGTTCAAGGATGGCTTAAACTACATAGCGAATGGGCTGGGGAGATAGCTCAATGGTCTGAGCACCTGTCTGTCAAGCACAAGGAGGTGGGTTTGATCCCCATGCTGGCCACTGAAACCGGGCCTGGTGGTGCATGCCTGTAATCTTAGGGCTGGGGAGGCTGAGACAGGAGGCTCACTCACTATGAATCTGAGCTGTGTAGTGAGATCCTGTACCAAATAAATAATAAAACATTAAAAAATATATATATATAGTGAAACCCTATCTTACAAAAAGGTGTTCCCACTCCCTAGGGCACTCTGGGATTTGTTTACACTTGTTTCCCATCTCCTGAGTCACTGGGGCTTCTAGTTTCTACAATGGCCATACGATAGGAACACGGATGCATACAATAAAAAGAGCAAGAGAGAAAAAACAAAACATAAAAATGCACTGCATAACCATGTCTTGGCCACCAAGGGACCACACATACAGTGATGGTGCAGAACGTTACCGGAGCTGAAGAGCTCTACATCTGTGACGGCACAGCGGTGACAAGTAACACAGCCACGCAACGCACTATTCCTGTTTGTGATGATGGTGCAGTCTCCCTGGTATGCTGCCAGCCGGTACACACGATATCTAATATTGATGACGATAATGATAAACGCCTATCTAGTTTATGTACTTGCTATGCTTTTTGATATTTTAGAGCATATTCTCCTATTTGTAGAAAGTTTGTCCTGTTTCACTGGTGGCGGCACCTTTCAGCTGCACGGAGAGCCGTGCCCATGGCTGACCTAGAGCGCTGAGGTTTGTGTGGGGGCAGTTTAGGATGCCGGCATGATGCCGAGTTCATCTAATGAGGCATTTCTCAGAAAGTGTCCAGTTGTTCCCCCCCAGCCCCCTTCTTTCATCCTTTATTCAAACATTGCAAAGCTTCAGAAATTGGCAAAGTGTCCAGTTGTTTAAGTGATACAAGACCCTAAATTGTTTTTAAAGCCTTAGCAATGTGTCACTATCCCGAGAGGATTAGATACCACTGCCGGGTCAGCAGAGATGGCAGGAAACAAGCAATGACCTACAGCGCTCCCCTGGAGTCCTGATGGGGAGGCACTCCCCAGGGACCTTCGGCAAGGACCTTTCTCTCATCCTGGCCCTGCCTATGAAGGTGGGCTCTTTCACTGGCTAAAAATATAACCAGCGCAGGGTATGATGGTACACACCTGCGGTCCCAGCTACTCGGGAGGCTGAGGCAGAAGGCTCACAGCACAAGGGCAGCCCAGGCAACTCGCTGAGATCCTTTCTCAAAGCAAAACAGGCTGAAGACAGAGCCCAGGGGTAGGTGTTCCTGTGCTCCGTCCCCAGTACTACCCATAAATCCCAACAAACAACAAGCGATGCAAAATCCCAGACAGACAACAATGGAAACCAGTATCCACAGCTGGTGGAGGTAGAAGCTGAAGGATAAACTTCACGTGACCCAGCAGGGGCCACGTGCACTGCTCCAGCAAGGTGTGCGCCGTAGTGCAAAGCATATCCAACCCCTGGCCCTTGGGCGGCAGGTGGCCCTGGACAGCTACTAATGCAGCCACACACTGTTAACATTATCACGTGACTTTTAGAAAAATGACTACACTGCATGATGCTCAAGCCGGGCTGCACAGGCAACAACAGAACTCCAGGTGGGGGAGGGTGCCGCGCAGCGCTAACCTCCTGCACCCGCCACAGGCTGGCGACACAAACCCACGTGCCCACATGCAGCGGATGCTACCCGAGCTCACGTGATTTAGTGAGCAAACTCAGGCATTACCAGGGCTGGCACCACCTGCATGTGGGGGTGCCTGTAAAGACAGGCATTCATTTCTTTTTCATTTATTTATTTTTATTCTTATTTAAGTTTTTAAAATTTAATGATGAAACTTGGGCCTTTCTGTCTTATTTCACAAAATAATAAGTTAAAACCATCTGGCTACTTATATGCCTTAGCTATTTTATATATTTTATGTGTGACCTAAGATAATTTGTCTTCATCATTGTGTCCCGGATGAGCAAAAATGTCGGACAGCACGGCCGAAATAAACTCCAGCAGACACCGAGGCAGACATGAGGATGTGCAGAGCAGCGTTTTCTGTAGCAACACAAAACTCAAAGCAACTCCACGTCAATCAATGGTGGGAGCGAACACGCTGTGATCTAAGCACAGGCGACGCTCAGCAGAGCGCAGATGCCCATCCAGCTGTCCGCCCAGCAAGCTGAGATCGCAGGCGTAGATGCAGAAACTAGTAGTCACACCTATCATCTCAGCACTCTTGGGAGGCCGAGGCAGGACGATCTCACAAGCCCAGCCCGGGCAATGTAGCCCCTCGGTGAGTCCATGACTTAAAAAAAAAAAAAAAAGGATCTGGGGATGTGGAGTGCTTTCCACATTTGTAAACATGCATACAAAACCACATGTTACCCAACATGACAGCAAAGCTCCTTCACAAATATAAAAAGTACAGTCCACAAGTTGGGACCGTAGCTCAGAGGAAGAGCATTTGTGCGGTGTGCACAGGCCCTGGCTTCAGTCCCCAGCACCACAAAACTAAAATGAGCCCAGATTCTATTGCTCACTCTGGATTTTTGTCTCAAATCTTAGAAATCCATCCACTGTTGATGCCTGGCCCTTTCCGTAGGGCGTAATGGTGCATGAAGTACATTTTTCTATATCGCTGCCTGCTCCATCCAGGGCCAGGGCCAGCCCAACCGTTGGGCACAGAAAGCCTGAAGCAGCGCCCACGCGGGCTTAATCAGTAACTCGTGTGTTTAATTAAGCACCTTGCACCCCAGCAGCCAGCTCCTCGGCTGGCTGGGCTGCCTCCGGCGCTTGCGGCAATTAAGAACCAAAGGTTTCCAATTGACTCAGGGTTAAGAGGCGAGGAGACTTTGGGGAATAAGAACCGCCTGCTTAGCCAGGGCGACATTTGAGTTCTGCTTCTCTGCTTTGCTTGCTTAACTGCCTGCTCTCGGGGGCACAGGGCAGGCGGGGGCAGGAACTTCCTTAGGGACCCGTGAAATTGCAAGGGTTCCCCACATTCTTGCCTTTGGTCTTCCCAAAAAGAAATCTACTCTGAAATGGAAAGCAACATGCCTTCCAGGCCCTAAGACCGCCCATGGCCCATCGCGCTCAGGGCGGTTGCCTTTCCAGCTGTTTTCTGGAGTAAGCGCTCCTGTCAGCAACTAAGTACTTCATTTTCCTTACTTGTAAAATGTGAGCAAAAAAAAAAAAAAAAAAAACCAGTTGCATTGGATATGAATGTCAATTTATGGAAGGAATTCTGACTTGGTTACAAAAATTACAAGTTGCAAATGAATGTGAGGCCGAATCTTCATTGTGTCTTTTAAACCCCGCACCTATTTCCCCCCATACACACGCACGCGTGCGTGTACCCCCTAGGGCATGCGCACAGACGCACTCTCAAAACACCTGGCAGAATCCCATCAGAACTGCCGTCAGCCCTTCTGGGGCCCAAAAGGGCCCTCCACAGCAGCCACCTATCTGCATTCTACATTGCTTGACTCGTGCTAGTTATGAATGAAAGGAAGAAAAAAGTCTTGCCAGCTTCCAGGATGAAGATGAACGAGTGAACATTAAAGGGCTGGAGCAGGGGTTACTGCTGCTTAGCTAGAACGCCCCCAAATAAACATCTAGCCTAAAAACAAGAGCCTAGCACGGCACAGTCCACAACCAGGAGACCCCACTTAGCGATTCCTGTTTCCAGCCCCGTTTTCTGGTTTTACCCGGACTGGCCAGATAGATACAATCACTCCCACCCTGAGGCTCAGGGAGGCTGTGCGGATTTCCGCAGGGCCACTCGCTGGAGGGGCGGCAATTCTGATGGCGACAGCTGCCCACCCCTGAAGCCCACGTCCCTTTTGTCTAGCCCCCATTCCAGTACCCAGTTTTTTCTCTAACCCTCTACACAAGGGATTTCAGAGTTTCTGGAAGCAGCTTAGGGCCTCCTGGGGGCCAGGTCAGGGCTCAGAGTCCCACAGTGGCTCCCACCAGCACTGTTCTCCTTTCCAGGGAAGCTGGGTATCCACTGGTCGGAGCTGCTGGACTACCTGGTTCCCACTACAGCTTCCCCGGGGTTTGGTAATAGAGAGTGGACAGACACAGCCTTAGTATGTGCTGCCACTTGTTACCATTTCAAAAGAAGGCACAGGATGGAACAAGTGTAGAAGCACCGTTCTACCATGTGTGCAGAACGCCTGCCCTGGTCAGCAGCCTGTCAACACTCCACTCCTTGGAAAGCCGGCACAGTTCCAAGCGCCTGTTCAGTGCCTGGGCCCTCTGCCCTCAGTGGCTTCTGCCTCCACGGGGCCTGCATTTCTGGTGACAGACCCAGGGAGGCCACAGTACCTTCACCCCTTGGCAGAGACCCTTGCTCTCGGCCTCTGTGAGCCAACGATGCTCTTTCATCAACCCCCAGCCCTTTCACCCCTCCCTGCGGCTCAAGCTGGGGCTGCCACACACTCCGGGAGAGCACCACTCTGCTTCCACAGCCCTGACTCAGAGCTTTGGAGGCAGGGATGGGATCCGTGCCAATGGGGCTACCGGGCATCCAGCCAGACCTAGATGTGGCCGCAGAGATCTCCTGCTAGCACTGCAGGCAGCCTCTGGAGCCAAGCAGGGAGCCCCCTGGTGCAAGCTAGCAGTCTGCAAGCTCCAACACTTCTGGCCAGGGTCCGGGGACTCCTCCCACAAGTCCAAAGCCCCAGTCCTGGAGGCCGGGCTGGCGGCAGCCTCACCTCGTTGCTCACCAGCACGTGGATGCCCGTGGGGCCCTGCCGGTAGACTCGGTGGATGTGCTGGGGCGGGATGCTATACAGGTTGGCGATCTTCTCCACCAGCTCCAAGGTGGTCAGCTCTTCCAAGAAGATGGCATGGTACACTGCAAGGAGGGGAGAGTGCCTGGCCTTTAAGTGGCCATTAAGTTAGCAGATGCCTACCTACAGATGTTCCTGGCAGCGTGAGGGGGACCTGTCCAGAAGCCTCGTGCCCCGAGGTGGACAGGTGCCAGGCCATGGCTCTCTGCGCCCCTCTCATTCCCTTGGCACACCTGTGTAAAACGTGTTGGTTTCTGGACCCCCCCCCCCAGGCCCAAGGACACCCAGAGGCAGGAGGCAGCCAGGTGCACAGGCTGCTCTGGGAGGGGGAGGAGCCCTGGGCTACCTTTCCATCCTGCCCAGTCTAAAAAGGCTACTGATGGCTTTAGGTGGCAAACTGACACTTAAAGACAGTTGCTACCAGCAGCAGAAGGGTCTGGGCACCACCAGCCTTTCCTTCTTACCACAAAGCAAAACACACCCAGCTTGAGCACTGTGACCCCTAAGGAGCACGGGAGGCCCCAGGGGGCCCAGTGTGGTCAGCAAGTGAAGAGATATCAGTACCGCGAACAATGGAAGTGCTTCCTTAGACAAAGCCCAGGGCTGGGGGAAGGAGCAAACTCCAGGACAAACGGGTAGATTACTCAATTCCGAGGGACTAGAGGTCCTCAAATACAAACACAACTGGATTAAACTCAAGGTTCCCAAACCTCTCCCTCTACTAAGAACCGCTTGGTTCAAAACTCCAGCCAGAGGCCTGGTATGTTCTAAGAACACACAGGTGGCTCCCGTCAAAGGGGTGGCTGAGGCTGCAGGGCTCCCACCTGGCCAAGGCCTGCTCTCGCGAGATCTCAAGGTGGCTGAGTCACCAGCAGATCCCAGGCAGAGAAGGCAGTCACTGTGTCCAGTCTCTGCTAGTGCTCAGACTAGGAAAAACCCCAGCCCCACTTTTAGGGCCCCTCTGTGGGACAGAATTCTAATGGTGTTCCTTTTTTTATCTTCTTCAACCTTATTCAGCCAGTTTCATTATTTTATGATTTTATACGTAAAACAAAGCAGGTCCCAGGTCATAAAGAACTAGATGGACCTCAGGCTGATGGGGTTCACAATAACCTCTGCCACCAGGAGTGCTCAGAGTGAGTGTGGCTATACACTTCCTCCCTTGGGAGCCACATGGGGAGCAGTCAAGGGAGGCCAGCGGGTCTGCCAATCATGGGTTCAAATCTTGGCTCTGCAACTCCAGGATGCAGGAAGGCCTGGAGCAAGCTGGTACCTCCCCAAGCCTCAGATGGTGCACCAGGAATGGTGAGCTACACGCTGCCAAAAGCAGTCAGATCACACACTATGCCCTGCCCAAAACCACACGTGGCTGCCCTTTAAATGCGCGGGAAATCTGGCAAACTCAGCCTATGCTTCACAGGCTGACATGAAAATCAGGGGACCAGGCCTGGATGCTCATCAGAAATCTTGAGGCTGGGGCCAGGCCTCGAGGCCAACGCTGTATAGGCTGAATAACCCGGGGTTTGGGCTCTGCCCCGGAGACTCACCACAGAGGCTGCTGTCACTGCTGCCATCCCGCTTCTGCTGCAGGGATGCTCGGTTCTGCTCCAGCTCCTGACAGACATAAATGGTCATCTTTGGCCTCACGTTCCTGGCAGGAGGAAAGGAAATAAATGTCACATGTGGTAGACTGAGCTCCATGGTTCTAGAATATTCTGGAACACAGTGAGGAGACCACAGTGGGAAAGATTAAAGGAAGAAGCAAAGTGGGGAAGCAGGATAGGAAGTGACAGAGTCCAGCCCATCGGGCCCTGAAGAATTCCCCACAGGCATTGCAGGGGAAGAGCAACAGAGGACCCTCCCCATGTCCTGTTGCATTCGAAGGCCTCAAGAGTGAGCTGGGGTGTGGCTCCATAGCAAAGTTCAAGCTTAGCCACATACAAGGCTGTGGGCTCCACCTCCAGTGCCACCAAATAAAAAGCACTTTACATACAGGACTCATGCTGTCCTCACATAGCCTTGGAGGGAGCGTGGGTCACTGTCATCCTATAGGTGAGGAAAGTAAGGCCAAGGAGAGAGAAAGGCTCCCCTCACCACATAGCTCAGACACAGACAGGGACTCCAAATCCAAGGGCGCTCTCTCTCTCTCTCCCTCTCTCTCCCCTCCCCTCCTTCCCTCCTTCCCTCCCTCTATCCCTCCCTCCCTGTCTGTTTGTGGCTATTATGATTTTAGCATAAGGCTAGAGGTGTAACACCACGGTAGAGCACATACTTAGCATGCATGAGGCCTGGGGTGTGAACCCAGCACCCAGCACCAGAATATAAAAAGTGAAGTCCACTCAAGTTAAATAAAATTTAAAATTAAGTTTGCCTGCCCCACTAGCACAAGTGGCCCACGGCTCCTAGGCTGGCTGGCTGCCCAGTCCCCACCAGCCAGCCCACTCAAGGCCAAAAAAGTCAGCAATGACTTCGCTAGCTTTCCTGAAAAGCAAACACCCACCTGCCTTTGATGGCGTTGAAGAGCCGGATTCCATCAGCAGGGCCGCAGATCTGCACCAGATCGTCTCTGGACATCTTCAGCAAGTCAGAACCTAGACAGGGACATGAGTTACAGGAAAGGGCTTCGTCCCTGAGCACCCACAGACTCACACAGGGGCCGGGGGCCTGGGAAGCTCTGGCCTCACCCTTGGGGAGCACCAGACACTCCTGAGAGAAACACCACAGAGCTAAACCACCCCAGAAGCTTGCCGCTCGCCAACGTGTACGGATCCTCGGCAGGTCCTGCCCCGCCTCCCTCGGTAACTTCACTGGCACGCATCTGCGAGGGTCATTTCACCAGCATGCTGGCAGTGGTGACAAGGGCATGTCTCTGTACGTCTACCTCTCACAGGAGGCTGACACCGGAACACCCCTGGGGACCCAGCACAGACTAAGGGGGCTCCTCAGCCTCCCAGGGCGCCTCATCCCCGCCTGCGGAGCTCTATGCCACTGTCGTGCATGATCCACTGCATGAATGTGCCACAGCTCGGGCATTCACTCTGCTGATGGTGCTTCCCGCTCAGGCTGCGACGCAGCGGCTCTGCGAATCATTCTCCACACGTCTCTGGTCAGCACAGGAGGCCTTCTGCTGGGTCACAGGCCAGCCTGTGTGGCGCTGACAGAACTTGCCTGAGTGCTTTCTGAAGGGCAGTTCCCAGACAGTCCCACCACCTTGGACTCTTTAAGTTTATTGGTACATTTAAAATTTTTTTTTTATTATTTTTTTTTTTTATTTTTTTTTTTGTGTGTGTGTGTGTGGCCAGCTCAGCCCACCAGAGGGCGGAGGCTGGCTGGCATGTGGTGCTGGGGGATTGAACCGTGGTCCCTGTGCTTTGCTTAGCTTAGCTTGATTCTAAGTAGATGCTTTAGACCACTGAGCCATCTCACCAGCCCCTATTGGTACATTTTAGATACACCTAAGAAGCATATTCATCACAGGGAGTCTGCCCCTGTACGTGATATATTTGGATTCCTCTTTTTGCTCCACCACCTCCCCTCCCTTCAACTCCTCTTTCCCTCCCTATTTGTTTCCATTGTATCCTTTTTTAAATCTTTTTTTTTTCTTTCCCCTTCCCCACCCTAGTTGCTCTTCCTTCTGAATAACTTCTTCTCATTTCACAGTATCTATTGTACATTTTGGTCCTCATTTGCTCTTTCAGTTTCTCACATCAGGAAGACAGGGTGATGTTTATGTGAGCAAGTCTGATCTGTTTCACTTAAGAGTATAGTCTCAGGGCCAGCCAAGTAGCTCAGCAGATTAAAGCACCTGCAAGCAGGCGCAGGGGTGGAGGGGTTTGATCCCCAGGCCTGCCTTGCTGGCCCTGCCCCCAGGACACACTGAGACAGCAATTGAGACTGGGCATGGTGGCGTGCACCTGTAATCCCAGCTCTTGGGAGGCTGCAAACAGGAGAATCACTATGAGTCCAATCTAGTAGTGAGAACCTGAACACCCTGTAGACCCGTCCCTTGCATCCATTTACATAGAAGTGCCTCAAATTCATCCCTTTGTATGGCAGGGTAGTATTCCAGCCACATCTTCTTTATCCATTCCTCGGCTGATGGGCATCTATGTGGGTTGTTGCCAAGATTTAGCTATCAGAAGCTACGCTGCTGTAACCATGGGTGTGCATACATCGCTGTTGTCTAATGCTTTTAATTGTTTAAGCACAAGTATGCTAGATGTTGCATCGTGAGACTTTGTCTGAAGCGTGATTCCCCGGGCACTGGGAGTGAGAGCTGGGTCTTTCCACTGCTCTACCTGAGTCCCTCTCAGCCTCTCTGACCTCATCAGCCACACCAGCCCAACCTCCAGGACTCTGCTACAGTCTCCTGAGTCCTCTGCTCTGACCACGGCAAGATGGCTCATGGCCCTTGCTGTTTCTCTCTACTTGTGGAGCTCTTCACCCTCAGCCCCCGCAGTTGGTGCCCTTCCTCCTGCTCCAGCCTTGGCTCGAGGAGCCCCTGGCAAGCCCTCCCCTCCCCAGCCCAGCCAGCTGCTCCTCCCTGTCACAGGCCCTTCACTCCACACTGAGGTGGGGCGTTCACATCTGCACTGTCTGAATACCAAAAGCCCCAGAGGGCAGGATCCAGCCAGCCCCTCCCAGAGACACCCTCAACATTGTAGGGATGCAGACCTGCAAGTAACAGATGCTGCTGCTCCTGCACAGCCACAGAGGGCTGAGGAGACAGCCCTTGGGTAAAGGCCAGACCTCCATTCCCAGTCACTCTGGACTAAGCTGCCTGACAGCCAGGCCCGCTGCTCAGGCCACCTCTGGACCTCTGCCCAGACTTCTCTTTGAGGACCACCACTTGGAGCTTGCAAAGCCTCTTCTTCTTTCCGTCCTGGGCTGGAGCATGTTAGGCAATACTACGTCCCCACGGAGTTCCACTGCTGACTCTTTATGCTGAGCTCAAGCCTTGCGAAGTTGCTCATGCTGCCCTGAAGTGTGCAAGCCTCCTGCCTCAGCCTCCCAAACTGCTAGGATTACAGGTGTGCTCAACCACACCCAGCCTCTAAAGGAAGGAAACAGCAGCCTTCCTGTCTCACCGATGGCTTTCCTGTCAAGTCTCAGGTGGTAGCTTTGGAGACAGCAAGACAAGCAACACTTTGGGCAGGAATTCAGTGAAGATGTGTGTAGTACGCACTCCCCTATTTGGGCCAGGGGGCCGCTCCTGAGTACACCAGAGCCTACCCACTCCCGCAGGCGAGGGGAGCCAGCTAAAGTCAACCAGCAGTGCCCTAAAGCCACACATGCCTGGGAACATCGAGGAGAAGCGCCTTGCTGCAGAATCTCCTCTCTCTGGCCTTAGCCCAGGGCCGGGACACATGAGAGAAGCCCCATCCATGGGGATCTCCTGGACACAGCTACAGCTCCCCCAGGGCAGAGGGCCGCTCCAACAGCGTGCTCCCCAGTGCCTGTGAGTTTTAAACAGAGTTCCAGGACGCTCACCTGAGAAGCTGGCAAAAAGGCGGCAGAACTGTGAGAATCTGTTGCGGTGGAGCCACTGCTGGGCGTCCTGGATGGAGGCTGAGGGCAGCAGGTGCTGTGGGAGAAAGAGGAGGCCTTGGATGCTGCTCAGAGCCCACCAGGCCGCCACCCCCGAGCCGAGCACACACACTTACATCACTGCCAACGGGCAGGGCCTCCACCTGGTGTGTCGGCGAGCTGTTGCTGCAATAGGAAAGGAACAGGGAATGAGGACAGGGACAGTCCCTGGAGACACGGGGAAGGTCTAGTCACCTGTCCTGGTGCTTATGTCCCATCAACTATGAGACTTACTGTAAATGAAATGAGTCCTCCAGAATTTCTAGAGGCAGACAAATCTAAGAGGTTGTATCCAGTCCCTCCGAATCCCTGAAGGACCTACGGAGGCAGGCAGATAGTCTGCACGGCTACAGTGGCCTGCGCCTTGCTAACCCCTGTTCCTGAAGAGCTGGAGCGACCACTGAGGTTCCTTGCTAGCTGATGAGAACTCCCACCAGCTCAGAGTTTCACTCCTGGCCCCAGCGCAAGAGGAAGGTGGGCTGTCCACAAGGACCTGGCCACACTCCTCCATATAATCAGCACCTGGAAACCGGTGGCCAAACAAGTCATCAACCAACTCGTTCCATAGGACTGGAACCTGCAGTGGCTACACAGCCACAGGTCGGCATCCACGCGTGATGAACACGCCGCCAGGTGCTCCTTGCAGGGCCGCCCGTGGTCTTCTTTAAGGGCCAACTCAGGAAGGTGCAGATTTAAACACCTGCACTCATAGGTAAGAGAAAGGTACCTCCCTGCTGTGGACCTTCCAGACAAGGGCTGCGAGAGCTGCATGGTGCCAGCAGTGTACTTCAGGCTGCTCAATGGCATGACAGACGAGGTCACACAGACTTCACCATGTCTGTTTTTAAATCCTCACAAGGATGACAATCAGGTCAGCTGTTAGAACAGCACTACCTTTCACAAAAGTGAAGCAAAGGCCAGGCCTTACGTGCCTGGCACTCCTGACCCATGTGGAATTCTATGCCCTTTCTGTAGAGAGGAAGTCAAAGCTCAGGAGGGTTAGGGAAGCTACCCCAAGACGTGAGACTAGGCCTGCTGCAGCTAACGGTAGCCCTTTTCTAGTCTCCCAGGAGGATGCTTCACTTTGGCAAAATCAAGTTCATGGGCACCTTGGTTGTTGCGTTAGAAAGTTCTGGGAAGTCTGCCAAGCAGGGCCTCAGGACAGTGGCGGGCAGAAACCACCTGGGTTCTGCACTCATCTATGAAACGGCCTAGTGTCCTTCTGCCTTTACCCCTGCTCCCACAGCGGGCCTGGGAGCCATCGCAGCAGTGTCGTGGGCCCCGGCTGCGCAGCCAGCGAAGGCAGAGTGCTCTGTAATTCAGCACTGTCCCATCAGTGTCCTTGAGGCTGAGCACCTCAGGCAGGTGGCAGAGGGCAGCTTCAGTGCTATAAACCCTGAAGCCCAGGGAAGGAGGATCAAGCGTGGACAGGCCCTGTCCTGAGTGTGCACAGATGGTGACAAGGAACCAGAAAGGGTTGCACTAGGGCCACTTAGCACACTCTTGGAACTTTCTGGAAGGGCTGCTGTGCCCCAGAAGGGGCCTGAGCCTACCCACAAGGCTGTCCTAACCTACCCAGGCCCTACATTTACAAGGAAAATGGTGAGCAGCTTGCTGTCCTACTAGATGATGTTTATAGATGCGTAGACAGAACAGAAGATGCCACGCAAAAGCTAAACACAGCTATGGCTACAACACCAGCTAGCCGTGCTGCCACCTAAACAGGTACCAGACAGTGGGAAGAAGGGAAAACTCAGAAGGGAACCTACCACCCGTGACCCAGGGACCAAAGGGAAAAAGATGAGACCTACCCTTCTCCAAGGCCGAAGCTATTGGGAGAGCCATTGTAGCTTGGGGATGGGGCACTGTTCACCTGGTAAGCCACATCCGGCCATGGAGAGCACTAAGAGGGGAGAGAGAAGGCACGTGACTCGTGACCAGAAATCCCCAGCCAGAGCAGAGGCCACAAAAGCACTGCCCCGTCCACTCGGCCCTTCCACGGACGCATCTCTTGGCACCAGCACACGCCCCGGCTGGTCCGCTGAATCCTGTTTGCTGGGTGCCCACAGCAAGCCACAGCTGCGCAGGGTGCCCTAGGGCCGCACAGGGGAAGCCAAGCACAGCAGAGGAGTGATCTAACATTCAGGAAGTCACCCCTGAACAGGCAAATGGGAAGGGTGCCTCTGCCAGCTTCCCAGGAGTCCAACCCAAGAAGCGAACATCGCAGCCCTGTGATGCAGAGCCCAGAAGAGAGGAGGGCGATGAGAACAGGCTTGTGGCTCAGAAACTTCTCCCCGTGCAGACCAGCGTGGGTACACGAGTGCCCGAGGGACTACGGGCAACTTCCTAAGAAAAAAATAAATATAAAATCCACTATTAAAACCCACACCCTGCAGGCAGGAGAGGCACTAGAGCTCCGTGTGTCTGTCCACGTCAGCCTCCTTCTGGGGACTCTGGGAGACAGACACACACAGAATGTGATGCGTGTCGTCAAGCAATTCCAGCACACAAGTCCAAACAAGGCCACCTGGGATCCCCCCAAAGAAATAATAAATACGAAAGCGGAGACTACAGGCTCGCTGGGGCAAGCGCGCAGATGAATGAACTCTGCATTTCTTCCTTTGCTGGCAATCCAGAGGGCCGTGGGGAGCATTCCTGAAGATTTACTATCACTTACCCAGCCCCAGCCTCGGTAAATGTTTAACTGCTGTGAGGGAGGACGAGAATTTGTTGGTGCTAAATCCGGCAGCCCAAGAAGGAGCGCTGATGAGCCGATAGAAGAGGGAGTCAGTAGCGCCCGGGGTCAAGGTGGGCTCCCAGCATCAGCACTGCCTTATGGTGAGGACGGGGACGGATGGGCACGAAGCCCACCTGCACCTCTCCTCTGCCCAGAAGCCAGGAGAACAGTAAAGAAGCTGAGGCTCTGCCAGGAAGAGAAGCGTGGCACTGGGGAGGGGACATTTCTGGCAGTCTCACCAGTCCAGGCAGGGACAGGAGTGGGATGAAAGGGGTCCGCATTCTCATCCACAAAATGCAACTCCTCCTGGACCACAGCTTTCCAGCCACTGCTGGCCTCAGTCATGTAAAGTGCCACGTGCTTGACCACATTAGTTTCTATAGCACCCGACCGCAGATCCTCCTCCACCGTGGCCAGCCACACACAGAGAGGCAGGCATCCTCAGAGCTGGTGCTGCCCAAGCCTCACTCTAACAGAGCCTCAGCCCCAGCCGGCCAGCGTGGCCACACACACCTTACGCACGCCTCCTGAGGAAGTCCAATTAGTCCATAAATAAATGCCAGTGTGGGTTAGTGGGCCCGACAGCAGAACACAGGGAGGAAGAGTTGACAGCACGCACCTTGAAGACAGCCTCAGGCATAAGGGTGGCTGCGGCAGGCTGCCCCTGGTGTTGGGGTTAAGAGGAAACGCTCTTTGGTATTTAGCCAAACCACCCAATAGCCAAGGCGGGGGCTGGAGGTGTGGTTCAGAGGTGGAGTGCTTGCCTGGCACGCACATGGCACGGGTTCTGCCCCCAAAACTGAAAAAAAGGGCCATGTGTGGTGGCACATGCCTCCAACCCCAGGACTCAGGGGGCTGAAGCAGGAAGACTGCCACAGTTCGAGGTCGGCCTGGGCTGTAGGGTGAGTTCAAGGCCAGCCTGAACTGCACAGTGACACCCCACCCAAAAGCGAGCAGGTGCACCGTCCAACACGGCAGCCCGCTCTGAGAAGAGAGCCCCGTGGACATGTCACTGCTTGCAGAATGCAGGAGCAGCTGGTCCCTGCGCCTCCATCCGCGATGGCAGAGCCAGCCACGCCCGCACATCCAGCGACCGACCACCGCTGCTCAGCAGTAAAAAGACGGGCGAGGAGCCAGCAGGTTCTTTATGAACAGACCGGGACCAGAGTCCAAATAAGCTATTAAATGAAGACAACGCACGGTACAGAAAGGTGTGTCTATGCACACTGCTGGCTTGGGGCAGAACCATTTGCTCCCCAGCCGCAGGTACAGAGAAGGTCAGGCTGCTGTGTGGGGGACCAGCGAGGCCAGCCGTCCTAGAGGGAACAGCAGAGGGGCTGTGGCAGTGGTGGCTGCAATATTTTGAACACTATTTTAAATTTTGCATTATGCGAACCTGTTACCTATTCAAAGTAATAAAAACACCCTAATTTTGTAATGTTAAGTGCATTCAAAGGCAGCAGAGAAGGTGCAACAAGTTCTGAACCTCCTTCCCACTCTGGGTTGTAGAGGAAGGGCGCCCTGACCCAGGACGCACACGCGGGAGAGCAGCAGCAGCACAGCCAGGCTCCCCCTGCCCATCCGGACAGGCGACCCTCCAAGACTCCAAAGAACAGCCCAAACCCGGCAGGGGCCTCGCTTCACCTCTGTGAGGATGGTGGTTTCGTAGGACGGCTGGTACTTCTCCTTCTCTTGAGCGGTTCTTTTCTCCATCTTCTCCCGGTCTGTCTTCTGCTTCCGGTCAGCTCCCTTTGGCTGCAGGTACAAAGCATGGGGTGCCATTGGTCCAAAAGGAGCCGAAGTGGCAGCTGGTGGGAAACCCAGGCCCGCACACTGCCTGCTTCACCCAGGGAATGCAGCAGGATCTCCTGGACAAGATAGTCGCTCTCTCACCTGAACAAACTTGCAGCCCTTCATGGAGCCTGCTACTGGGCCTGCCCCATAGCTGCTCATGGGGAAGCTCCTGGGAAAGACTGCTACTAGTGGCCACTTGCTTCGAGAAGGGAACTAACCCTAAGGGACCAGGACAAGCCACAGCGTGTTCCTTAGGCCACCCATGAAGAGCAAAGGAAGTTGAAGTGGCCACTGGTTGGGTCTATTCAATGCAGGTGGGCTGGGAAAGGCTGGCCATCTATGGAAGACCCCCTCACCCCAGCTCTGCAGACTCCTGCCAGGTCCCTAGGGTCACAGGATGATGTTGCTACCCTGACATGACTAAGTGATAAAGGAGAGGCTGCCAATACTGGGTGTCCGGCAAACAGAGTCACTTCCAAGGGCATCTGGGCCTTGCAGCCAGTCTCATGCCTCAGGGGAACAGCTGCCCTAGACAGAAGAGGGCCACAAGGGGACACGAGTGACACATCCACCTACAATGAACCACAAGCCAGGCTAGGACCACTAGCCACAGGATATCCACAGTGGACCAGAACTGACAGTTCCTACAGTGGGCCACGGGCCTAGAGACTGCAGTGACCACTGTATGCGTAGACAGAACTGGTGGAATCACAGCCCCAAAGATGTCCGCACCTCCAATGCCCAGAATGCGTGAATTTTTTTTTTTTTAATGTGTTTAGTATAGGGTCTACAGGGTCTCACTACACAGATCAGACTCCTAGTGATCCTGTTTTTCAGCCTCCCAAGTGCTGGGATTACTGGTGCACCACCACGCCCAGTCTCAACAGCCCCTCAAAGCTCACCCTGGTGGTGGGGCCGGCAGGCAGGTGGGGATTGAACCCGGTCCCTGCATCTGCCTAAGCGGAGTGTGTGAATTTGATCTTATGTGGCAAAGGGAAAATTACATCTGCAGATGGAATTAAGGTACTAATTAACTGATACTCAAGTATGAAGGTAATCCTGACTGAGTGGGGCCTCTAAAAGGCCCGCGGAAAGGAGCAGAGGTCAGGTGGTGTCCTGTGAGAAGGACACAGGCCACTCCTGCCGCTCTGAAGACAGAGGGAGGCGCCCCAGGCTCCAGAACAGATAAGGCAGCCTCTGGAAGCTGCAACAGGAATGGGCGGATACTCTCCTGACACATTAGCCAAGTGAGACCGCCTCAGACTCCCAACTGATTTTTAGATATCTATGTACATAATTTTGGGTGTTTTGTTTTGTTTTCATTTTGCAGCGCTGCGGATAGAATCCAGGACTTCACACGTACTAGGCACATACTCCACCACTGAGCTATGCCCCAGGTTCCTTTTACTTTCACGTTCATCTATCTGTCTATCTGCCTGCCTGCCTGCCTGCCTGTCTGTCTATCTATCTATCTATCTATCTATCTATCTATCTATCTATCTATCATGTACTGAGGATTGAACTTGAGGCTTTAACACTGCACTACATCTCAAGTCTTTTTAATCAGTGTTTCATTTCTTTTGAGACAGGGTATCTCTAAGCTGTCAAGGAGCCAAGAGGTGGCTCAAACTTGTGATCTTCCTGCCTGAGCCTCCTGAGAACGGGGATTCCGGGGAGGCACCAGTGCACCCAGCTCTAGTTTTGGAGTTTCATTGTTTTGTTTCAAGACAGGATCTCACTGTGCTGCTCAGGCTGGCCTCAAGCTCCTGGCTCAAGCGATTAATGGGCATCATTTGAAGCCACTAACTCCGCGGCACAACAGTAAGAAACAAACCCAGTGGCGCATCGAGCGTCCCTTGGGGGCCTTTCCTCCTAGGACTCCTAACCCTAAGTGGATTCTGAAGTCAGCTCCTCTACTGCCCTGGCACAAAAGATAAACCATTCGTCACCCCACTTCTGCCTCCCTGCCTGGGCTGTGCCCATCCAGAGCCAGCCAGGGCCGAGGAGCCCCAGGCCACACCCTCAGAGGCAGGCCCTCTCATTGCAGGCTCCCACAAGCGAGCGAGCAGAGACCTTCCCTGCCACCTTAGGCTGTGGCACCAGCATGGCCCCCAAATCCCTGCCAACAGCGCACAGGGTACCAGGCCCGGCAGAGGACGCTACAGTACAGTTGCGTCTTCAGGGGCCACCTGGGTCACAGTTCTGCCTGTGGGGATTTACTCCTACATCTACCCCCAGGCCAGGAAAAGCAACTCAGACCCAGATTTCTCTCTCCTGAGCCCTGGCTGAAATGACTCACTGTTGATCTCCAGCCCCAGGGGACAGAATTTTGTCATCTGGTTCCAAATCCATCTTGATGTACAGGAGGTGGGCAGCCAGGCACTAGGGCTAGGGACTCAAGACAGTTCCTGACAGGGAGGTGGCAACTCGCCCTGCAGGCACCTGCTAGAGGCACAAGATGCAGACCAGGCCTCTGGGGCACAAGGCCATCCTCATGCCTGAGACTGATGTGATACCGCTCCCATCCTGAGGGGCACAGGACAGCGAGCAAGCATGGCTGCTGGCTACCATCCTCAGGAAAGAATCAGTCCAGACTGAGAGATGAAAAGCAGAGACAGGAGACTGCATGGAAGGAGGCGAGAATGGGAGAAACAGGAAGCACGTTTGAGAGTCAGAAGATGCTTGTTCCAGTGTCTCCCTGTGGCTGTCTGTCTCTCCCTCCCTCCTTCCCTCTGTGTGTGTGTGTGTGTGTGTGTGTGTGAACGAAGCCTCCCATGTTCTAGGCAAGTGCTCACCACTGAGCTACACCCACTGTTTTGTTGTTTTTCCTCTGGACAAAGCCTATGTAGAGCATAACATCTACATTAGGCCAGTACCCAAGGTGGTAGGGCGGGCACAACTTCATAGTCTGGGGAATCTAGATGCGGGAAGCTGCCAGCATGAATAAAAGAATCTAAAGCTAGACAAATCAGTCATTCTTAGAAAGTCCTCATAGAGCTATGCACTGACAGTCAGAGCCCCCAACATTTCCGGTGTAAGCTGAGCAGGCGCTGCAGGTGAGAAGATGCCGAGGGGAGCAGGATGGGCGGGGGCCGGCTCCTCGCCCTGTGTCGACGTGTGGCTTCTGCCCAACGGCAGGCCCGACAGAAGCCCTGGCCTGGACAGTTGCTGTGCTCCTGGCCTAGCCACTAAGCCCTGCTGATGTGCCCGAACAGGCGGTCCTGACGCCATCCTACCTTGAACACCTTGATCTGGCAGCTGGCTGAGTGCAGGTGCTCCGTGTACTCCCCGTTCTCGTTCTGCTTAAATGTGTCGATCTGCACCCGGAACGGCACTCCCTTCTCGCCCCCGTGCTTCCTGGGGGTGAACTCTGTGCTGATACAGTGCACCTGGGGGGATGAGGGGCAGGCAGTCGGGCAGGCGCAGGATGGCAGGTCCCACTTCCCTAGGTCCCCCTCCATCCCTGCCGCCTCCTTGGTGTGGAGCTGCTACCAGCTCCCGGCTCACCCAGGCCACTGTACCAGGCCAGGGCCTCCCTGCCCTCCAGCCGCAAGACACACCTGCTGCCTCTGCTGCGTTCCTGGAGGCCCCTGCCTGACACACTGAGAACTTGTCACTGCTCCAAGCCACTGTCCTGAGAACCCCACTCTGGCTCCTCATGCAGGGACCCCTCCCTTGGCAAAACCAGACTTCCAGGAAAGGCCCTCAGCCAAACCCTGACCCCGCTCTAATGCCCTGGTTACACGGCCAGGCTGGATGCATGACCAGAAGGCTGGAGCCATTTCTGTGTTGCTCATCCACTCGACACACATTTGTTACAATACTATAGCAGTGTTACAACAATACAATATATGCTAAAATACCTAACAACATCATGTTAATGATTCTTAAGCACAACACAAATATTGTTTTAAAAAAGAGATCTTTTTTCTCGAATGACTTCCATGAAACAGCTACTGCATTAATAGCTTTATATTCAACTGGAGAGACAGCTCAGTGCCTGCTTAGCACGCACAAGGTCTTGAGTTTGATTCCTCACACCAAAAACCACGCTCTATATTCATGATCTGGGGAATGAAGTGTGCTATGGGACACGCAGGGAAAGCGAGTGAGAGTGGGTGGAGCCGGCGGTGGCCACGCCTGTGCACCCTGAGCTCACCTGGTAGACAGCAAGGCAGGACCCATCAGGGGTGGAAAAAGATGTAATTGGCTCAATAGTAGGAACTACAATGGGGAAAATGTCCGCTTTCCAATTATCTCTGCTAGGAAATACTGATTTTTTTTTTTTCTAAAAAAGCTTATGAAAGCAGAACCCGAACAGCATTCCACAACACCCCACATCCCCTTCCTAACCCTGCTGATCAGCCAGCTCTCTGTGGCTGAGGCGGGTTCCTATTTCCTCTGGCGGTCAATCCTGTCCAATGGGCAGCTTGTGCCCCAACCCCCAAAGGTCCCCCACACACTCACCTGAATGAACGCCGACGCCCTCTTTGCAGGGTCCCATAAGAACTCAACTGCATTCAGCTGGGTTGGGCTGGCCCTGGGGTCCAAGATACCAACAGACAGTGGAATATCTGCACACACACACACACACAAAAGCGCAAGTGTCAGCCTCTCCCAAGCACTCGGGGAAGGACACTCGTTACAGGTCCAAATTCCTTCACGGTAGCTGGAAATACCCAAGCACCAGAGAGCTCTCAGGAGCCTTCATTCCTTTTGGTTTTGGGATGAACTACTGCATCCAGATGCCTGCTTCTAGCATTTAGCCTTCCATGATGCTACAGGTTTACGTACCCTGTCATCCCACCTTTAAATTCCAAAATTTACCTGGCCCCAAGACTAGACACAAAGCATTGTGGGCTAAGACCTGAGTCCCCAAAATTTAGTTTTTGTTGCCTGGTATGGTTTGTGAGGCTGGCTTTTAGAGTCTGGGATTGATTCATGATCAGCACTGGGATTATGGGTGTGAGTGCTGTACCCACCCCAGGGCGGGTAGCCCACATATAATATAAGGGAGGGACAGAGTCTTGCTCGTTTGCGTCTCCCTTCTGCTCTTGTGCTTTTGCTGCCTGTCACCACCTTGAACTGTCTGCCCCCCTATCTAGTGCCACATGCCTTGGAGCCCGCTGTTGATAGACTGGTATATCTACAACTATGAGCTAAACAAACTTTTCCTTCCTTAATTCTGGGTGTCAGCTGTTTTGGTCCAGCAAAGAGGAAAGAAAAGTAACCAAGATATTGTCCATCATGTCTCTGACGCTGACCCTTCTGCTGCGTTCTCAGCGAACTCCCTGACAGCAGGGTTTTCTGAGCACCTCAGGCTGGAACTCACCAATGTCCAGGATGCGGTCGCCCGGCCGGCTCCACCGCCAGCCCTCCAGCTGTTGGTGCTCCGTGTACTGCAGCCGGCGGTCATGGAAAACCACTCGAATGATGCTCTGGGGAAGGCAGGGCGATGGGGGAGACTGGCTGTGGGGCCAAGGGGAACCCAGGAGGAACCCCAGCCACCTCCCTAGTCCAGCAAGGGCAGACCCTCCCCATATTTCTAGGCCTCTCCCCTTGGGGTGCCTTCCCAATTCTTGGTATCCATGTTTCACTCCCTCTTCAGAACCTCAAGAATACTCAGAATGGTAAGAATAACAAATACCTTTTTTTTTTTAGTACTGGGAATTGAACCAGAGCCTTTGCTATGAACTATATCCCCTGCCCTTTTTGTTTTTCATTTGACAGAGGGTCTCACTAAGTCACTGAAGTGCCTGGGCTGAGCCTGAATTTGTGATCCCCCGTCTCAGCTTCCCAGTGCTGAGTTTAGAGGTTTGTGCTACCAAGGCTGGCTTAATGACTACCATTCATCCTTGGACTGCAAAATGCCTTACACATATGTCTGATTTATAAGCCCTCTGCGCAGATGAACAAGCTGCAGCTCAGGTTCAGTAAATGGCAAAGTATCAGAGCCTGCTCCATCACTCCAAGCCACTCTGGCCCTGATGCTGCTACCCTGTTGGCTCCACACTCACACTCTAGAGAGCAGGGCTGGAGGCCTCAGCGTGCCCATGAAGGCCAAGGGTCATGCGGGTGCCATCGCTCCCTCTGAGGGCTTCCCCACCCCAGCAGGTCCAGGTGCTCAGACCTGCCAATTCCTAGTTCCACACCTCCAAGTGTGACCATCGACCCCCAGCAAGGCTTACAGGACTGACCTTGACATATTTTGTGTTGAGATCTTGAAAGTCTCCCAACTTGCGGTTTTCCAGCAGTCGGATTTCATACGATTGACCTAAGGGAAATGGATGGCACAATTTCCACGTCTGGGTGTTTCCAAATTGGGGCTCATCCAGCTAGCAGCCTTTTACTGCTCTCAGGAGCTACCCATGCCTCAAGGTTCAGAGGAACAAGAGAAAGAATAAAGGAAAGTCCACGGCCAGCTGAGCTCATTCTTCAGACTGAACCCAAGTCTGTCCACTCAACCCGGTGAACCTTGGACTCCCCAAAGAGTGCACTGTGGGGAATCTTCATCTCACCAGTGGCCAAAGGAATAGACCCAAGAAAATAAGTTAGCATTAAAACCACAGAATGCAACTCCATCTTCAGAGCCCACCCCCCACGTTCTACACACACACACACACACACACACACACACACACACACCCCTGGATGCAGAATGAGGTATTTAAGGAGACATCAGTAGGTAAATAACCGACCACACCACTCCTGAGAGCAAGCTTAAAGGAAGAAGCCTGTTAAACATTGTCTCTAGCGAGAGAATGAAAAGCATTCTCTGCAGTTAGAAGAATTTGATGTATCTGAGGGTGTGGGGTTCTGGTCAGTGACTGTACAGGCCCAACATAAGCTGGCAGGAGAACACAGATGGAGAAAGGATCCATCTATAATTTTTTCTTTTTTATTTGTTTAGGGAAGGGTCTACAGGTGTCCGCTGTCTCAGCACGCCCCAGGGGCAGGGCTGGCAAGGCAGGCCTGGGGATCGAATCCTTGGCCCCTGCAGGATCCATCTATAAACACAACACAAAACTCCTTAGTATCTAAACAACCTGCAGAAATCTGCACGTTTTATAGAAGAACAGACACAACTTGGATAAAATGGACACAGTATGCTTCTGGATGGAAGATGACAGATGTGGATCAAACAAAGTCCATTTTTCCCAATATAAATATTATACCACAGTTCTGAAGCACTAAAGGATGCTTTACAAGAAAAAGAATACATTATTTAATCCGAATTGATCAGATTCTTCGTTTTTTCTGCACTGGGGACTGAACTCAGGCCTCCGCCTACGCTAAGCAAATGCTCTATCGCCGAGCCCCGGCCCCGGCCCCTTTCTAGTTTTCACAGTGCAGACTGCCCTGAATGAAGATGGCTCTCGGTGACGGTGACGGCATCGCAGGGAAACCCTACGCTGTGGAAACCGGGAAAGTGACACTGGCGGCACACACAGACCGACAGACCCTACTGGGGTCTCCCTGGGTTTTACATCCATTTATGCTTATGTTTTACTTCAGTCTGAAACCTTGGTCTCTCTCTCTCTCTCTCTCTCTCTCTCTCTCTCTCTCACACACACACACACACACACACACACACAATTTGATCCCAAAGCAGACACTATTCAACGTACAGCTTCTCAGCCGGGCGTGGTAGCACATGCCTGTAATTCCAGCATACAGGAGGCTGAGGCAGAAGGATCAGCGATTTTAAGGCCAGCCTGGACTATAAAGTCAGTGTAAAGCCAACCTGAACTACACAGAGATCCTGTTTCAAAAAAAAAAAGTACAGATTCTCACTTCACAACACAAATGAAAATAAATCGCCACTGGATTAAAAAGTCGGTTTCTTAAGTGGGGGAGGAAAAGGACACACTTGCCAAAGGATATAAGTGTGTTATACTGGAGCAATGAATTTAATAGGTGCATCGTACAGCACTGTGGACATCAGTAATAATAATGAACCTTGAAATACTCTAAAAGAATCGTCTCAAGTTTCCACTAGACAGAAACCATACACTGGGCAACACATATACTTTGTAGCTCCATGTAGCCACATCATAGCGCAGCATATTCCAAACATTATAAAACTCAGTTTTTTAAGGTTTATTTCAACATGAATGATGACTTATCTATCAGATAATTGATAGGAAAGGACTTTGGGCTTGAAAATCAAGGGGGAAAAGGAAACAGCTATATAAAACATAAAACTTTATGTACACATAAATGAAAAAGTCTAATTGATGCAAATAACAAACTAGGAACAGCAAATCTACTGGCTAACAGTTGTTACACAGTTTTCAAAAGCAATTGATCGGGGCCAGCGAGATAGCTCAGCGGTCTAAAGCGCCTGCTTAGGCAAGCTTAGGCAGCCACAGGGGGCTGCGCTTGGATCCCTGGCACCACATGCTGTGCCGGCCCTGCAATTTATCCAATAAATAGAAAGGCCAGGGTGTAGCTCAATGGCAGAACATCTGCCTGGAATGTGCAAGGCCCTGGATTTGCTCACCAGTGTAGAAAGGAAAGAAAAGAGTACAAACCCCTCTCTTTTGGTGAACTGGATATGGTCGTCCATGAGCTATCTCTGACCCTACTTCTGTAATCCTGGGAATGTTGACCTTGTACTGCACATTTGCAAAAACAGACTTGAGCTGATAGCGTTCAGGATTCTGAGATGAGGTGATAACCCAGATTACCTGGGTGAGCCTGAAATCCAAAAATGAGTATCTGATTCGGAGACACTGAGGAGGCAGTGGTTATCTGACCACAGAGACAGAGACTGGACTGATGTGGCCGAGAGCTACGGAAGGCAGACACTGACCGAGGCAAAAGAGTCATGTTTCTTAACTCCCCAGAAGGGGACTGGTGTGCTTGCCAATCTACTACTTCCGGCCTCCAGCACTGCGAGAGAAAAACTATCCTTTGTGCACACGTGTAACTGGGGGCCGAACCCTGCACCTTCACACTGTTACATCCCCATCCCTTCTTTGTTCATTTTTTACATTTTGAGGTCAACACACATTTAACAATTTGTTATAGCAGGCAAAAGAAACAAATGAGGCCAGGGAGATGGCGCAAGGGCCTGAGTTCAATCCCCGGTTCCACCAAAAAAAAAATCTATCAATGCTCTACACCAGTGAATAATGAACTAGGCAAAGAATAGGAAACTGAATCACTCATCCCAAATATTTGCTGAGCAGCAATGACATGCCAAGTGCACACAGTGGTCACGCAACTTGTGCATCGCAGAGCTTGGGCGCCACAGCTCCCACGAGGCCCGGACATGCTGCTGACCACACAGGGACAGGGCCAGCCAGCCAGCCGACCCTGTCTCACTCTGCGCAGTAACCTCTGGACACAGCCCGTGCAGGCTCTGTGCACACACACACACCTCGCCAGCCTGCTCAGGGGTGGCGAGGTGCTGGTCCCATCAAAACCCTACACCCTCACGCCGTTCACCTGCCTGCTCAGGGCACAGGTCTGAAAGAGTGGTGATGGCCTAATCAGAAGGGCAACTTTTGGAAAGAGGCAGATTTTTAGATACACTTCCAGGCAGGCTTTTGAACCAAGAGTCCAGGATGCCCTTGCCATGGACATAAAAAGAGCCTCACACACCCTAACTGGTTTTTCCAGTGTTCCTCGCCTCCCTGGATGAAGAATGCAGATGGCGCTGGCAGAAGCCCAAGGGCCAAGTGGTCATTATGAGTTTACATTGCCCAAGGGGGCCAATTAGCACTGACCCCAGGCTCTGCAGGGCACCCTCAACTCAGGCCGGGCAGAGTCACCACCTGTCCCCAGTTCCTTTTCCTACCTGCCCAAGGGGCAGAACTACTGAGTGAGACCTAGGTGCCAACTAGCGCAGGATGAGCAGAACACACAATCCAGGCTTCACAGGCCACGAGCTGTGGCTCCCTCTCAAGCCCAAAAGGCTGCTGGTCAAACACAGTAACGCCCAGGGCCCTGGGAAATTCAGCTTCTGGCCTGTCCCCAGATGAGGGCTGTTGGCAGGACCTCAGTCCACACTTCTCCAGAAGTGCCATCTCCCCCACCTTGCTCAGGCCCTGCCCTAGCCACGCGGCCTCTCACTGCACCTTCCTACCCCTGCTGCCCAAGGCAACACACTGACCACGCCATCCTCCTCATGCCACTTGGTGCCATCCAGAAAGCCACCATCCAGGGTCCTAATGAACGAGGGCATGTGCGCTGAACTGACCTAGGGTGCCGGTCAGGTATTGATTCCCCTGAGCCTCAGATGAAATTAAGAGTGGCAGTTAGCATCTCAGTGGCCCTGGGACAGGAGGAAGCAGAAGCCCAGAGAGGCTGCCTGACTAGGGAAAGGTCACTCAGGCAGGCAGTCTAAGCGCGTGCCAGCTCCTCCCCGCTTCTTTTGCCTTCTCCTTTCCCAGCAACGTGTCTGCTCCCCTTTGCACTCTCCCTCGTCTGCCTCGAGGCGCCACTGTGTGGGTCCCTCCCACATTACCTTTGCCTGCCTGTTTCCCAAATTCTAAACAATGATTTGAGAGGAGAGGGGAAATTCACTCCAAGACAGAGCAAAACCTCTAGCTAGGCAGGCCGTGTGTGTCTGTAATCCCAGCGCTCAGGAGGCTGAGACAGAAAGATCGAAGTGAGCTCAAACCCAACCTGAACCTTAAGTCAAGACCCAAAATCAAAAAACAAAGAAAGAAATAAAGTTCTAATTCTGTTCTAATTTCAGAATTGTGAAATCTAGAGAATTTTTTTTAAAGGCTATGGGTATAGCTCAGTGGTAGAGTGCTTGCCTAGCAAGCAAGCGTGCCTGAGGGGCTGGGTTCCAATTCCAGCGCTGTGGGAAAAAAGAAAAGAGAAGGAGAG